TCTGGTTTGGTCTCCAGAGAGTCCTTCAGCTCCCGGACCAGGCTGGTGTGACCCTGCCTGCGGGGCAAGGGGAGCAGGAGGATACAGCCTGGGGGTACCCTGAGCCAGCCCATATGCCAGGGATGGGGATCAGGGGTGGTAGCTGGGCCCTGGCAGCACTCACCATACCAAGGGGTCATCGAAGGGGTGGATGCTGACCCAGCCTTCTGTCTTCAGCAGCTCCTGGGCCCTCTCGTTTGCATCATCAAATGCCTGGGGTGGAGGGCAATGGGGGCTCAGAAGGGCTCCATACAGCCCTGTAGTGGGTTTCTGTGGCTGGGTTTTGGTAGCAGGGGTGGGAGGGGGGCTACAGGGGTGGCTTCTGTTGGAAGCTGCTGGAAGCTTCCCCTGTCTGGTGGAGCCAGTGCCAGCCGGCTCCAGGATGGGCTTCCTGCTGCTGGCCAAGGCCAAGCCAATCAGGAGTGACAGTAACGCCTCTGTGACAATAACATATTTAAGAACAGAAAGTTATTGTGCAGACGAAAATTCCAGCCAGGGAAGGGCAGAGTGAGAACATGGGAACAACAATGCAGACACCAAGGTCAGCACAGAAGGAGGGGCAGGAGGTTCTCCAGGCACCAGAGCTGAGGCCCTGCAGCCCGTGGTGCAGACCATAGTGGGGCAGCTGTGCCCCTGCAGCCCATGGGGGACCATCGGGGTGCAGAGACCCCCCTGCAGCCCCTGGAGGAGCCCACACTGGAGCAGGTGGATGCATGAAGTAGGCTGTGACCCCGTGGGAGGCCCAGGATGGAGCAGGTCCTGCCAGAGACCTGCAGCCTGTGAAGAGGGAAGCCCACGCTGGAGCAGGTTTTTCCCAGGTAGGACTTGTGGCCCCTGTGGGGGACCCACGTCGGTACAGGTCATTTGTGAAGGACTTCACCCCATGGAGGAGTGACCCACGGGAGAGCAGTTTGGAAAGAACTGTTGCCTGTGGGATGGATTCACACCAGAGAGGTCCGTGAAGGACGCTCTGCCGTGGGAGGGACCCCACAGGAGCAAGAGAAGGACTCCAACTCCTCTCCCTGAGCAGCAGCAGAAACAAAACTGACTGTAACCCCCATTTCCTGTCTCCCTGCACTGCTGGCAGGGAGGAGGGAGAACTCAGAAAGAAGGAGGGGTCGGGGGAAGGTGTTTTTAAGATTATTTTACTTCTCACTCTTTTGGTCTGATCCTGTTAGTAATAAACTTAATTAATATCCCCACTTTGAGCCTGTTTTGCCTGTGATAGTGATCAGTAAGTGACCTCTCCCAGCTGTTATCTCAACTCCTGAATCCTTCATTGTTTTTTGGTTTGTTTGGTTTTTTTTTTTCTCTCCTCTGTCCAGTCGCAGAGAGGAGTGAGAGAGGCTTTAGTGGCTACCTGGCATCCAGCCAGGGCCAACCCACTACAAGCCCTCACACCCCAGGGATGTGTCCCTTGTCACCACGGGCTGGGGGACACCAGAGCGGGTGGGGGTCCCAAGGGTGACCTTGCTGCCATGCCAGGGTGCAGGTGATGGAGGAGTGGGACATTTTGGGATGGGATGTCAAGCACAACTCCAGCATCACTGAGCAGGCTGAGGTCAGGCTCAGCACCCTCTGGTCCCCCCCAGGCCCCAGTTTTTACCTTGCCATAGACCTCCACGGTCGCCCCCAGCTCCTCCAGCTTGCGCTTGGGGATGGGGCCGCTGCTGCTGGGGATCACCACGGTGATGGGCAGCCCCAGCTTCTTGGCTGCATATGCTGCTGCCATACCAGCGTTCCCCCCTGTGGGAGGCAGCGGCTCAGGCAGGGCTTGACCCCCCACACGTCCCCAGATTCCTCAGGGAATCAGCTCGGGATGGAGTTACCTGAGGAGCAGACAAATCGGCGGCAGCCCTTCTTGGCAGCCTGAAAGGTGGGAGAAGAAGAGGGAAGGGATTGGCTGTGTCCACCTGCCGTGTCCCCCGTGAGGGCGGGAACAGTTCCCTGCCCACACCGTGCCCACACCCACCTCCTGGCAGAGGTGCCCGATGCCCCGGATCTTGAAGGAGCCCGTGGGCTGGACATTCTCCAGCTTCATGAAGACCTTAGTGCCCGCTGCCTTGGAGAGGGGCAGGCTCTCCAGCACGGGTGAGACGACGTGGAAGGGCTTCTGGCTCCCACCAGCCTGGGCTGCCATGGTCCTGGCGATGGATGCTCTGCCAGGGACAGGTGGTGGAGTCACCAGATCCTCCCTATGGGTCCCCCAACAGCTTCGATGCCCACCCCAGGCTCAGTCTGGGTCACAGGAGCCCCTTGGGAGGGAAAGGACTGCCCACGGTGTTTTCTGCCAGCTCCAGGATGTAGGAGCACCTATGGGGTCTCCCTGTCAGAGCCCCGGGACAGGCTGTGGCACCCCCTCCTCCATCCTCCTGGACCTCATTTCCCCGGTGTCCGCAGGTGCCCCCTGCACGCCCTGTCCCATAACCCAGCCAGAGTCACCGCAGGGTGGGGGTTACCTGCTGTCCCCTGGGGCCTCGCTGCGTGTCCCCAGCTGCTCACCCGCCGCCGAGTCTGCGGAACACAAGAGGGAGAGGTGACGTCGGAGGGGCCGTGCCGGTCCCTGCGCTCAGCAGCGCAAGGGGCGGGGGTCAGACATTGCCCCGGCCCTTCTGTTTGCTCAGCACTGTGTGAGCTTTACAGCCGCGGGGCTGGATCGATGCCGAAGGCGCCTGGCCATGGCCGGGCACGCTGCCGGGTGTCCTGGCCAGGACAGGCACGTGTGGTCCTGCCAGCCAGATCCCAGCGGCCTTCGAATGCTCGGGGAGATGGGATGTGGGCGCCCAGGAGATGGGGGAAGGGGAGAAGCAGCTCCCAAATGATTCTGGGGGTCTTTAAGGGTTTGCACTGGCTGTTTTCAGGTCCAACCAGAAACATGTCCCAGTAGATTTTAAGATTTTGCCCCTTTGACCTAGGGCAGCCTGCATCCCCCAAATACCCAGGTAAGACACCACTCACTGCCTACAAATGAGCCATCACAACCCTATGTCCACCCTGCCAAGTCCCACACCCCACAGCAGCCCCAGACCCTTGTCTAAGCTGCACATCCCAGGGGGGCTCAGTCCCTCCAGCTGTGTGAGCCCCCCAAGATGAGACCATCAGCCTCAGCTGGCCATGCCAGGCACCCAGCAGAGGGTCAGGAGGGGTCTGGTTCAGAGGGACCCCCCTACAAAAGTGGCCCTTGATCACCCCTTGGAGAAGGCCAAGCTGGAGCAGTCTGAAAGCAGAGGTTGCTCGGGAATCCCAACAGGGAGACACCACACAGCAGCTGGCAAATGGATAAAAATCACAGCCAAGTGGAGTGCACCAGGAACATCCCCACCCTCTTCAGTTCTGACCCACTGCCAGGCAGACAGCAACAAAACAGACCCAGAATATCTGATTTTGGTCCCATTGTTACCCAGTGAGGAGCTAAAAGTTGATACAGTTAATGCACTGGATACCTGGGTGCACAGCCTTGCTTATCAAGCCCATATCAGGCTGGAACCAGAGGTCTTAGTGCTGTGGCTGGAGACAAACATCTCCATATCAAGCAGGACCAGGACTCTCAGGTAACTGAAGGTGAACAACTCCATATAAGGAAATAATTAATAAGCCAATAATCTCTGGGAAATAATTGACATAGTCTAGCCTTTATATAAGGAACAGGTTGAATATCTCTATAGTGTAAATAAACCAGTAATTCAAAGTCATGGTGTGTCTGACAGGAAGAGGTGTCCCTTGCACACCTGGCACTGAAAATAAAGTGCAAATTAAGCAAAGAGTGTTTTAGTCCTGATTTTCAGTGACACTCTGACCTAAGCTGTGCTGCAAAGCCCCTGGGAGCATTCTTGCTAACAGGCAGCAAGAGTTGCAGGGCAACCCTGCTCCTGATGGGATGGGAGAGGGCTGGGCCTTTGGTGGCAGGAGCTGGGGAAGGGGCACAAGGAGCCCCCAGCAGCTCACAGGGAAGAGGCTGGGGACGCCCTTGGTGAGACCACCATGTGTCAGCTCAGCCCTGGGGTTCTCCAGGGTCCTTTTCCACACTACACCTACCTCCTCCTTCCCCCTTTGCCACCCTTTGATTCTTCCCTGCCCCAAGGAAGGCAATGCCAGGCTGTCAACGAGTCATTTCCCTTGGCCAGAGACCCTGGGTGACATCGCCATGGCAGCTGGGGGATATTTAACATCTTTTTGGTTTTCTACTTTAAAAAAAGAACAAAACAACAAAAATGGAGGGGAAGCAGCAACTTTGGCATCGATGTGCTTGTCCCTCCTTGCTGCTCCTTCGCTTGGTGATAGAAATCTCCTATCTGGCAAAACTGAGCCACAGGGATCAGCTCCCCCTGCCACAGGAGCCCACACCATGGGGACAGCAGGGGACACAGGCTCTGCCACCCCCACCTTACCTGCAACCCCGCCCCACACAGTGGGTTATGGACACCCCACCTTGTCCAGTGCACCCATCCCGGCTTTTGGCATGCCAGCACCCCAACAGCCCACACCTGCTCCATCCCACCCCCCTGCAGACCCCAGCGAGTCCCAGGGGCCCCCAGCCCCGGTGGGAACCTGGCACCTTCAAAGCCCTGCCGAGCTGCAGCACATTAATCCCCCACTAATGACCTCGTTATTCCTAACGAGGCAGATCAAGGGACCTGCTGCCCAAGAGGATTTTGCACCACGGGTTTGGGAATGGGGGCACACAGGTGCCTGAGAGGGGAAGAAGAAAGGGACAAGGATGGTCTCCCACTCCTGGAGGGAGAGCACTGGGGCTTCCCTCTTTCAGCAGCTCTGCCCCACACCAGCTACCCAGCCTGACGCAGCAGCACAGAACCCTCCACAGCCTGCACCCCAAAAGAGCCCGGCCTGGCTGGCCACGCACCCTCCCACCAGCACAGAAACAGGATCACCCTCTTACTGGGGGGCAAGAAAGAGCACTGCCTGAGCCCAACCCTCAGAGCAGCCACCGGAGAGTCGCGGCAGAGAGCACAGCACCGCCACCACCACAGAGCGCTTTATTTGTCACAGCCACACCAGCTCACTGCCCTCCTCTCTGCCCCGCGGGCGAGCCCCAGGATCCCAGGACCTGCTGTTTTCTGGGAAGAACCCCCCCGAGTCAGGTGTCAGCACCCAGGGACAAGTCCTGAGACCAGCAGGGAAGGGGCACAGCGGGGGCTCAGCCCCCTGCGCAGCACAACCGGGATCTGAGAGGCAGAGAGAGCCAGGGGAGGGCTGTGTTTCACAGAGCTGCAGTCCCCCCACACCCAGCTGCCCCCCAAAGGGATCCCCCCACAGGACAGACACCCACAGATGGACGGACAGGATCAGCCCACGGGTGCCTGTTCAGTCCCAGTGGACCTTGACTGGGGGGAATGTCCAGAGGTCCGGGTGGCCCATGTGGAGCAGGGAGCTGCAGGGGGACGTGCTCCAGCGGAAGGGGGGCACATCATCCCACGTGGGGCCACTGGCAGCCACCAGCCCAAAGGAGGGGACCATGCCCGAGGAGGTGACCTGGAGCCAGGGAGACAAAACGAGTTGTGAATCAGCACAGGGGAACGGGCAGCACAGCCTGGGGGAGCTGCTGGGGGGGGATGCACCCCCTAAAAGCGCAGACCCCCCTCAATGGGGTTGCCTGAATCCCCCACCTTCATGTCGGTGCCACCATGGCAGCGCTGGCGCAGGGCAGGGAAGGGGTAGGTGCCGTTGGCAGGGTTGAGGTCGGAGCGGGCGGAAATGGCGTTCTCGGCGTTCTGAGGGGGGTCACATTCCTTGCACCGTGACAGAGGGTCCTGCAGGTAGTTGTTGGACCTGCCAGGAGAGAGGTCAGGAGAGAGTCCCAGGGAAGACATAAATTTACAACGACGAAAAAAAATCACACCCAAGGGTCGCAAACCCCTGTGGGGTGTGGAACACCCCGGTTTGGGGGGTCCCCAGCACAGACCTCATGAGGCGGATCATGGAGTCCAGGTCATGGACCAGCGTCTGGTTCCGGCGGAAGATTTGGGCCCGCGGGTTCTTGTCGTAGGTGAACCAGTCTCCATACTTCTTCACCAGCTCCAGGTTCCCACTGGCGTTGAAGACCTCTTCAAAGTACCTGGAGTGGGGGGGACCCAGCACTCAACAGAGGGGTGGGGGGCAAGGCCCAGCATTGCTGCCCCCCTTTATGGGGCAGCCGTGGGTGGGACGGGGTGGATGGCACTCACGGTACGTTGTAGCTGGCCCAGTAGCCCTGCTGGTACAGCAGCTCCGTCAGATCAGCCTCCACCACAAGGCCCCTGTGCTGGGAGGAAGAGCACTGATCAGAGTAGAGGGGAAAAATCCAGTGGGGATAAGGGGAGATGCCTTGGGATAGGCTGGAACATGTGCTGGGGGTCCTTACCGTGTTCCCACCCCAGCCAGGGGTGCTGGGTGCCCATCACCTCTACACAGGCATCCCCAGAGCCTTTAGCCACAGACACACCCACATCTCCATATCCCGCTGCCCACCCATTGGGCTGGGGCAGACATGACCCTCAGGGCTTTCCCAAACCCACAGGGATGGGAGAGGAGATGCTTCTGCTGTGGCTCAGCTCAGCGCAGGAGCTGCTGCTCAGGGAGGAACAGGGTCACTCACGGGATCTGCTCCAGCACGGTCAGCACGCCCGGTGATGGGCTCGTTCTGCCTGGCGTGAAGGCGTTGTAGTCCACCACCATCCACTGGTTGTTGTACCTGGCACAGAAAACAGGATTGCATCCCTCTGGCAGCCAGCCTCCTCCCAGGGACTTTCCATCCAATCCCACCTCGTCCTGGGGATAAATTCCTGTGCCCCATCCCACCCCCACTCACGTGCCACTGTTGAACTGCCGGAAGACAGTGGCCCACTCGGGCCCGCTGCGGGCCAGCCGGTTGGCCACGATGTTCCTCAGCCACTCCAGGACGCTGCCCCGTGGGTCCAGATACTTCCACCGCGCCGGGTTGTTGTTCCCGATGGTGGTTTCCAGCGCTACCTGTGGGGAGGGCAGCGATGGGCAGGGCAGCGGGGCTCGGGAGGGGGTCCCCGAGCACCACACCCACTCACCAGCCCACTGCTGAGGATGTAGAAATCATCCGCGGAGAAGATGGTGCCGGGGTAGGAGGAAAACACCTGGACGCTCCCGGGGATCTGAGACTTGCCTGAAGGGGGATGCAGAGGCAGGGGAGCATCAGAAGGGAGGTGCGAGGCACAGCCCCCCCAGCCCAGCTCACGCACCGCCGGCCGAGGCGCGGAAGGGCAGCGTGTACTTCTTGATGAGGCGCAGCATGGACTGGTAGGAGGTCCAGGTGTCGTGGGCCACCAGGAGATCCCGATTGCCCGGCAGCAGCTTCACCAGGGCAGAGCAGGAGCCTGAGCCCAGGACATGCTGCGGGGAGGAGCGGTTCAGGGCAGACTCCAGGTCCTCCAGGTCACCCCCCAACTGCAGCAGCCTGAGGGGAAGCAAGATATATGAGGTACCAGGTGGGCGACATCCCAGCACGTGAGCTGAGCTGGCTCAGAGCCCTCTGTCTGTCTGTCTGTCTGTCTGTCTGTCCATTCAGGCTGGAGCCATTTATTCATCCCATACCAGTGCAGGCGCTTGTGCTGGAAGCACCTTGGCACTCAGATCAGGGAGGGAAGGGTGAGCACAGCAGTGAGAAAACTGAGGCAGGAGCTGTGGGGGGACCCACCGCCCAGACCATGGTGTGGGGAGGAGGAGAAACTGCCTTGGTTCCATCCTGCCCCAGCAGCAGAGGACAAGCATCCACAGAACATGGATGAGGTGAACTGGGAGCAGAACTGGCTGTCCCTGGACATGCAGGAATTGTCCCCACAGGATGCCCCAGCCACACTTTGAGACAACCACCTCCCACTCTCCACCACCTTCAAGAAGGAGCTTACAGGAAGCCAAAGGGCGCCAGGGTGAACCTGCCCCGGGGGAAGTCCAGGCGCCTGTTGTAGCTGTCCTCCAGCCCCTTCAGCTGCAGCAGGGCCAGGCGCACCTGGGGACAGGGGACAGAGCTGGCACCCAGCTTCCCCGCGGAAGATGGGTGAGAGATTTTGGGGGATGAGCTCCCCCATTCCCCCCAGGGTACACAGCAGATCCGGTGGGTCCCAGTGCTGCTGCAGAGGCAGGAAGAGATGTGGGGGAAATGTCACTATCAGCAAGGTCATGACTCAGCACCTGTGCCCAAGGGTAGCTAAGTCACCCCCCGGCACCCCAAAGGCAGCACATGAAGCTCCAGCACTGAGAAAGTCACGAGTGGCTTCTTCTCGCCTCAGGGAGGAGGATCCATATGGCCACATCCCCGTCATCCTGCCTGGAGCCCAGCCAGGATATCTCACTGCCCTGTCCCTTCCTCTGAATTGAAGCCCCAGCTATCCCAGGGGGATGTAGTGGGGTTCTCCCGGGGTGGGGGTACCCCATCCTCACCTGGTGCCAGTACTCAGGGTCCTGCCCCTTCCCCATCTGCTCCTCCATCCAGCCCAGGTTGGCCTCCAGGTAGTCCCGGAGCTTCTGGCAGTACTCGCTCTCGTACTTGAAGGGGCCACAGTAGCCCACCATGGTGTTCATCCAGTGCATGTACATCAGCTGGGGGGCACAGCGTGGTGTCACCGGCAGGTGACAGCCGGGGAAAGAGGGAGGGGAACGGGACATGTCCTCCAGGGCCCCATTTTTGGAGGGGTCACCCCTTACCTGCTCGGTGACAGCGGCCTCGGCGAGCCCGGCCGCGTAGGCCTGCAGGCTGTCATTGTACGAGGCATTGGTGGTCACCTCGAGGAAGGCCCAGCTGGGGAGGACACGGTCACGGAGGGGGGTCAAGGGAGGGTCACGGGGTGGGACGATGCTCCCCCGGGGCGGCCCCGCCACCCCATCCCCCCTAGGCTCTATTCCACCCCCGTCCCGTCCCGCCCGGGTCAGCCCGTGCCGTCCCTACCCGACGTGCGGGATGCGGTCATCGAGGCTGGCCCAGGCCACGGCGGCGGGGAGGCGGCCGGGCAGGACGCTCAGCCGCCCGGAGCCGGGCTCCAGCAGCACGGAGACATTGCGGGGCGCCGGGGCGGGCGCTGCCCCGGCCGGGCGGGCGGAGAGGAGCGGGCAGAGGAGCGGGGACAGCAGGGACAGCAGGGACACCGCCAGCAGCGCCCGCGGGGCCGCCATGGCGGGGACACCGCGGGGCGGGGGCGGGGCCAGGACGCGACCACGCCCCTGAGGGATGAATGGGGCGGTGTAAGTGTGGGCGGGGCTTAGGGTTGACCACGCCCCCACTGCATGTCCCGCCATTACAGGAATAGGGCGGGGAGGGGGCGGGGCTTGGATGGGGAATGAATGGGGCGGGTCCCCGGTTGGGGCGGGGCGTGCGAGTGACCACGCCCCCAGCGAGCCCTCCGTGAGATGAACGTCAAGTAGGGGCGGATTTTGGGGCGTATCCTGTGGCGTGACCTTGGTCCCGCCAGCCGGCCTTGCGGGCTTGAGGACGCCCACAGTCCCTCAACAACTCGCCTATCGTGCTCCCCCACGCTCATATGCACGCCTCCATTTCAACACCCCCTCAATGCCCACGGGAGATGTGTGCAGGTCGCCCCCCCAGCCCCAGCCATGTCCCACCACTGAGTGAAGTCCAGCCCCAGCCGGTGCAGCCCGCGAAGAGCGACTCGTGAAACCTGTGGCTGGTGTGGGGGGGGCCTGGGCCCCACGGGTGTTCGGAGCAGGGGGACACACAAGTTCCTGGTCCGCCTGTGGGCCCCAGCCCTGCCTTGTGCAATCGCGGGCGGCGCCTCTTTACTGCCTCCCGCTCCTCTTCCTCCTCCTTCTCCTCCTCCTTTTCCGGTGGGCAAAGTCGCCCCGCGACGCGAGTGTCCTGGGTGGGCCGAGGTAGAGGGCTCGGACACGCGCGGTAAAGTCACGGTGGGCTGCACACAGTCCCCCCGGAGAGTGCCACAGCGGAGGCGGAGAGGATGCCACACGCCCGGGGCTGTTCTGGGCAGGGCGGCACCTCAAAGCCACTGCTCGCGTGGGCACATGGTGGCCCAGCACGTCCCACCAGCTCCCAGTTGCTGCGGTTAATTTCCCAGTAGTGCCCAGTGTCCACATGTTCCTGTGCTCAGCGCTGTGTGAGACTACCCTGGCCACCGAACGCGGCCACTCGTGGGTGCAGGAGCCAAGAGGGGAGCACAGGGACACGCGGCAAGCACCCAAATTTGGCCTAAAACCACAAAAACCCGCTGAGAAAGCGTCCCTGTCCCAGAGGGGTCTGGGGGCAGTGATCCGGGCCACCTCCTGGCGGGGCCGGGGCTTCCACCCAGTGGGTGCCACTGGTCTTTGGGTACCAGGAAGGACCTGGGATCCCCTGGGAGGCTCTCCCAGCTGGGCACTGACTATTTTTTACTTTCCTTCCTTTCCCCTGTCCACGGGGAGAAGGGCGGAATGCGACTTTAGGGAGAAACTGGCCAGGGTGGAAAGTGGATCCTTGAATCCCATCAGGATGTTGGGGGTCCAGACGTGGGGGGTTAAGCTGCACATCCTTCCCCCCAGAAACACGGCTCGGGGTCTTGCACAGGGCAGGGTTGAGGCTGGGGTGTCCCAGAGCGGGGGACACCGGGGCGGAGAGGGGCACCAGCAGCAGCCCCGGCCCCTCTGTGGGGTCTCGAGCCACCGGCACGGGGGCTGTGTAGCCCTGGCCATGCCTGCGATGAGCTCACCCGCTCTCATAGGGTCACCCCAAAGGGGGCTGTACGGGGGCGCAGCACCCAGGGAGGGTGTCCCGGTTTGAAAGGGACGGGACGGGGCAGAGAATCGTGTGTGTCCCCCTTCCACTGCCACCCCCGCCGCTCGCGTGGGAAAGTGCCGCTGTCGCTTTAAGGGCGGAGGGTGGCGGCCCCTTTAAGGCGGGGGGGGGGAACGTGGAGGGGGATCAGCTGCCCGCGCACGGCAGCGGGGCCGCGCCGACACGGTGGGTCCGCGCCGCGGGTGGGGTCCCTCGGTACCCCCACATCTATCCCCCCGCATCCCCGCCCAGGATTCCCCACCCCTCGGGGTCCCCGTCCTCACTCGCATCGGGATATCCCCGTACCCTCCCCCGGCCTTGCGGGGTGCCCCCAGGTCCCCTGGTCCTGCCCTGGGGCGTGGGTGCCCACCCCCGTCTCCCTGAGCTCGGGGCGGCCCCGCGGCTGAATCCCCCTCCCAGCGGGGACGTGGCGGGGCAGCGAGGGCTCAGCCTGCCCGCGCGGGGCTCTGCCTTTTATCCTTTTTATTATTTTTATTTTAAATAATAATTTCTCTTTTTTATTGTTAATTTTTAACCCCTCCTCTCCCCGCCCGTGGAGCGCGGGATGCGGGTCCGGGAGCAGCCCCCGATCGCTCCCCCCGGGGGCCGCTGCCGGCGGTAGGTGCCCCCCGGGGCTCTCCCCCGCCATGGGGCAGGGGGCCATGGGGCAGGGGTCCGCGGGGCTGGCCGGGATGCTCAGCCTGGCCGGGGCACAGCCAGCCGGGACCCCACTGCTGCTGGACGTGGGGCGCACGGTCCCTCTCGGGGGGGATGCTCTGAGCCACGGACGGGGCCTGGATGTGAGTCTGGGGGCTGCGGTGGGGTTTGGGAGGGCGGCGGGAGGGATTTGGGTGCTGCTGGGGTGGTGGAGTCTCCCGTCCCGTCCCTGCCTCCCCTGTCCCCGCCATCGCAGTTGGGATATCACCAGGATTTCCTCCTCTGCTGGTTTTCTCCTCCGAAAACCTCGCTGCCTGCCAGGCTGGCGCCTTCCCATGGCCGGGGTTGGGTGAGGGCTGTGTGGGGACAGGGACAAGGGTGTGAACAAGGGCTTCCACCCCTGCTGGCCCGGGCACAGCCCTTGACCCACGCACACGTAGCACAGATGGGGTAACTAAGGCAGGAGTGACGGTGACTGCCGAAAGCAACCCCCCAGAGGGGCAGGGTGCCCGATGGCAGTTCCTGTGGGGCGTGGGGGGTGCTTGGGGTGGGCAGTATCACCTCAGGGTGCCCGATGGCAGCCCTCGGGAAGGGCAGGGGATCCTCGGGGCGGGGAGGGAACCCGGCTGAGCACTCCCCGCTCTGCCCCGCAGTGCTGGGAGGTTCGGAAACAGAACAGCTCCGAGTGGTGCCGCTTCATCCGATCCAACCCCGACTGCCAGATGGACGGGGGCTTCCTCGACTACCTCAATGGGGTCTTCTGCGTCTTCCCCCCGCGGCTGCTGCCCCTCGCTGTCACCCTCTATGTAAGGACGGGAGCAGGGCAGTGCTGGGGGATGCTCTGCTGCGGGGGCATGGGTTGGGCACTCCACTGACCCCTCTTTGTGCCACCCCTGCCCCGCAGGCTCTCTGGCTGCTGTACCTGTTCATCATCCTCGGTGTGACAGCAGAGAAATTGTGAGTGGCCCCACAGAGGGGACGGTCCCCAGGGTGAGGGGGAGCCCCGTGGTCCCCGAGCAGCCCCATCAACCCTCTCCGCCTCCTTCTCTGCCTTTCCAGTTTCTGCCCCAACTTGTCGGCCATCTCCACCAACCTGAAGCTGTCCCACAACGTGGCAGTATCCTTGGCAAATCACATGGGACCTCATCCGAGGAGGGGGGCATGCAGGAACAGGGCAGAGGAGGTGGCTGTGACGGGGTCACTTTGTGTCCCCTTGGCACCATGCCAGGGGAAATCAACTCAGATCACGAGCCTGGAGGTGGCACTGGGACAAGCGGTCGTGTGCTGGCACTGGGCAGGAATGCACAGTCCCCCCTGTGCCCCCACGGGGGAAGAGACCCCCAGGCCTTTTCCTTGACGTGCCCTCTCCATGGCGTCACCTTCCTGGCCTTTGGAAATGGGGCGCCGGATGTCTTCAGTGCCGTGGTGGCCTTCTCTGACCCCCGGACAGCAGGGCTGGCCATCGGGGCCATCTTTGGTAAGGGGACCCCCACTGCCGGCTCCTCCCTGGGAGCAGCTGGCTTGGGACACGTGTTTGGGGGGAGCATTGTGGAGCTGTGGGATGTTCCCACGCGCTGAGAGGGTCCCGTGGCGTTGGCAGGTGCCGGCGTGTTCGTGACCACGGTGGTGGCCGGGGGCATCGCCCTGGTCAAGCCCTTCACGGCCGCCTCCAGGCCCTTCCTCAGGGATGTCATCTTCTACATGTTGGCCGTCTTCCTCACCTTCATGGTCCTCTATTTCGGCAGGATCAGGCTGGGAGAGGCTCTGGGTGAGCGCTGGGGGGGTGCTGGGGCTGGGGGTGGTGGGAGCAGCCTGGGGGTGCCATAATCCCCCCATCATTCCCCCCTCCCAGGTTACCTGGGGCTGTACGTGTTCTATGTTGTCACTGTGGTGCTCTGCACTTGGATCCACCGGCGGCAGCGGGGGGATGGGACAGCCCCCCCTGGGCCCTGGGAGCCAGGTAAGGGCCACCTGGCTGTGGTGGGACCCTGGGTGGGTCAGAGTGTCCTCCCACTGTCGCCCTCCACTCCTCCTCTCCCCAGAGATGCCGACGGATTCCGAAGAGCCGGAGCCCTCAGGCACAAACAACAGTGACTATGGTATGTTCCTCCTGCTGGGCTTGGGGCTGGCTCTGTCCTCAGGGGTCCCAGAGACCCCCAGGCTGCTGCATGTGTGACTGAACCCACGGGGTGGGCACGGTTGGGTGCTGCCCTGGGGCAGGGGGATCCCCCTGGAGGCACACAGGGGACTGCAGCCCCATGCTGGAAGGGCTGGGGGTGGGCAGGGACCCCCCCTGCTCCTGCTCAGCCACTGTGGCCCCTCTCAGGTGAGGAGTACCGGCCCCTGCTCCCCTCCCAGGAGACCTCCCTGCGCATTCTCACCACGGCCCTCAGCCCCTTGGACTACCGCAAGTGGAGGAGGAAGCCCTGGTACTGGCGGCTCTTCAAGGCCTTCAGGGTGAGTAGAGGGGACATGAGCCAGGAACTGAGCCCCATGGGGCATCCCCAACCCTGCTGGCCCTTGGGGCTGTGTCATCCCCGCCAGGCTTTGGAGTGGGGATGGTGGGATGTGCAGTGGAGTGGGGATGGTGGGATGTGTGGTGGGGTGGGGATGGTGGGATGTGTGGTGGGGTGGGGATGGGTCACGGGGCACCTCTCAGGGTGTCCCACATTGGGGTTCTCCCACCCCAGGTGCCCGTGGAGGTGGTGCTGCTGCTCACTGTTCCCGTTGTGGACCCTGAC